GATCTTCCACACTCCCTCATCCCCAACCTAAATGGAAAGTATTGAGCAATTAAATGCTAATGGAGAAGAACCCAAGAAATTTCAAGATGCGAGAGAGAAACAACCCCTAGAATGAATTTGCCAGGTACCCTAAAGGTATGAAATTCTGAGTGCAATTGGAGTGATTAGACTTTGACTTTAGAAGAGATACAGGTGTGGTGGCATGTACCTGCAATCCTACATCCTTGGGCAGCTGAGGTGGAAGGATCGTTTGAGCCCAGGAATTCAAAGCTGCAATGAACTATGACTACACAACTGCATTCCAGCTACAGAAACTCAATGGGCAACAGAGGAAGATCCTGTCTCTAAAAAATAAAAATATGTAAATAAACAAATAAATATTAAATATGGTTAAAAAAAGAAGAGATATTTAAGTTATTTAAAAGGATAAAAGATTTCTGTAAAGACATGCAAATTTGTATATTTCAACACAGGAAGTTGGAAGACTTTACTATGCAAAGCTCTTATTTCCCTATGAAAGAAGTTGAAAGATCCTTTGTTGAAAGTTATGGCAGAAATAGTAGATTTGGTGTTCAGGGAAGATTGAACAATTCTACATGGTTAATAATGTTGACATAAATATTTGGTGCATTATTTCACAAAGAGCAGAACTTTGGAGTCTGCATTAACTACTTAATTCTCTTCAATCATTTTGAAGGTTAAAATGTGAGGCAAAATGGCAATAGGGCATGTTTCTCTTGTTTCTCTTTTTTGCCTTTTTGTAATTACTCTTCTTTTTTACCATATATGAATAAGAAGATATTTTATGTTACACAACACTTTTGTTTCTTAAGCATTATCTTCAGGTATTTCCATACCACACTTATCTAAATATAGAATATATATTTATATATGTAATATAGAATACATATTTATATATTTATGTATGTTTATATAAATATCTATAAGTATACTTATATATATTGGTAGGATTTTGGAGTTATGAATGTAGAAGGGAAATTTCAATTGAAACCAGGCAAGGCAGAGAGAAAAGGGGAAACAGCACAGAGATCTGAGCAGTGTGGAAGCAGGAAAAACATTCTTTGCATAAGTCCAAGGAAGAGTCTTTGAACAAGGCTATTGTCCACCATGTACAATTCAGCCAAGGATTACAGTAAATATAAGTATAGTACAGTAAATATAAGTGTATATATAAAAGTATATATTTATGCTATATATGAATATATATATATAAATTTATATATATAAATATATAAAATGTATTCTATATTACCTATAAATATATATGTAATATATATTTATAAAATTATCATATATAAGTACTTTAAATATATATAATTATCAATACTATATATTGAAGTATAGCAGATATTTCTGAGATCAACAATATGGCAAATTGCCTGGTTTAAATTTTCATGAACATTGCAGTACAAACAGAGGACTTTTAAACAGTGATTTTGGAATTATGTTATGGTACAAACAGGAAAAAAAAAAGAATACTAAATAAATATTAAATAAAAGGACAAGAACTTGGAAAATGCTTTCTAATGCTGACTAATTCACCTCATAGAGTACTTTGTCTTTCTGTCACTTTCAATTTAACTAATATGTTATATCAATTGTGGATGACATTCATAATTTCACTAAATTAATCATCTTCAGCATCTATAAGTTCACTTCTTTAAACTTTTCAGCTGCTAATTAGATTTTAGTTACAAATCCATTAATCTAAACCTAAAGTTGAACAGGGAAGTGACAAAATTATTTTGAGTTCAAAGTACAGTTTTAAAATGTTCAAAGTAATTCTGTTTTTAAAGGAGAAAGTATAGTTGTTTTATTAATCTGTTCATCAATTTTCCCTGCTATATTGTTTTAATGGCTTTAGTTGTATAGTATTTTATTTAATACTTATTGCTTTTTATTTATTTATTTTTATTTCTCCATGCCTAGAGCATAAAAGGAACAGTGAGAAGCCCACGGGTCTGGAGTAGTATAAGCACCAAGTGTAGGAGATGAGGACTGAGGAGTTATCAGACCATGTGGATAATAAGGACTTTGACTTATATAATAAATGGATTGAGATGCTACAGAAGAAAATTGAGCAGGAGAGTTTCATCATCTGAATTGCTTTTTAAAAGCTTTATTTGGTTGCTATCTTGAGAAAGGAAGAATGAGGCCACATGCACAAGCAGAAAGGACGGAAGCTATTAAAATAACTCAAGAGATCATTGTGGGGTTTTATTAGAATAATGGTGGAAATGGAAAGAAGTAACTGAATTTATTATGTTTTGTGAAGGGCAAGCTGATTTAGTTAGCTTTAGTTTGGATGTGGCACGTGAGAGCAATAAGTAAGTTAACATATCCAATAATTTTGGGAAGGATGGTATCGATATTTACTGAGGTGACAAAGACTGACAGAGAAACAGTTTTGAAGACGTTCTGAGTTTGGCTTTCCAATGTGTTCAGTGTGGGATGCCCTTTAGAGGTGTTGAGTAGGAAGCTGGATATGTGCATTCAAAGTTCAGTGGAGAGCTACAGGCTGGAGAGAGACACTTAAAGATCTGCAGCGTTGCATCAGTACAAATGCAGTGGGTACATGAACTGTCCAATGTAGTAGATCAGAAACACAACGGGCACCAGGACTAAACTTCAGTACACTCCAATACTCAACTCTGTCACCCAACTTTTCTAATACATTTTTTCTTGACATATTTTAAAAAATTCCTAGCAGACTATATTTTATTATTATTTAAATTTTTTAATTTGCTGCGTCCTTAATTTCTGAGTATAGTACCTTCTTATTGTTTCTTGAAAATAGTAATTACAGTAGTTTTGTAAACTAATATTCTATTTTATATCTTACATTGGATCTAGTTACTTCTCTCCATTTCCACCATTATTCTAATCAAAAACCACCATGATCTCTTACTTAAGTTATTTTAATAGCCTCCGTCCTTTCTCCTTCTGCATATG